GGTTTTGCTAGAACTGAGTTGGAGGAGTAAAGGTGAGGGAAAAGCAAAGGGACGCAAGTTGCTGCTAATACTGGAGTGATTTTGCTAAAATTGCAGAAGAACATTTTGAAGCTGGTCTTGTTTGTTGTTGGAATGAGTGTATCATTTGTTTATGAAGTAATATCCAATTGCAGGGTATAGAAAGGGACTTGTTTTGTTTGTACAAAGGTTCCAAATGAACTCTGCAATTTATGTAAAAGGTGGGATTTAGGAAGGGAGATGTATGAGCAATGCGTTGAGTGTAAGGAAATGGTCCTGTTTTATCTGTAAAGCAATGCGTTGAGTGTAAGGAAATGGTCCTGTTTTGTCTGTAAAGCAATGCGTTGAGTGTAAGAAAATGGTCCTTGTCAAAGTGTGTTCCTATCATATATATAAAATGGCCATGAATTATTGTCTTTGGCAACAATGTCCCACATGTACTGATAAACCAAATTGGAAAACAAATGAAAATAATACAAACACATGAACATGAAAACAACTGCCATATATATATATATCATAACTTCAATACACATTCCAAATGAAATAAAGCAAACTACATGACTGTTGTTGAACATGGGTCCATAAACGAAATAAAGCAAGCTATCACATTACTGTCTGCACTTCCATAATTACTAGGCAAGGCAAAAGTTGAAAAAGCAAAAGTCATGTTAATTACAAAAGTAGCAACTATCACAGTAGTTTCTCCTATCATAGTAGTTTCTCCTTTTCCTTCGATCTAGATGAACTAGGAACACTTAATGTTGAGTTGACTGCAGCAGCAACATGCATATAAACATCTCTAATCTTGAAGGGCATTTGTACTTGTTCTTTAGTTTGTGTTTTGGCCTGTTTGGTGCTATATTTGACTTGGGACTTTGACAGCCCAAACACATCGTACATATCCTTGTCCACTTGATCTGAGGCAGAGGATGTTATGTCAATCTCAACCAGTGGCTCAGCATCCTATTGATATTTAGTGTTTGAATCATCCTTACAAACTGCAGCTACAACTCTTCTTGATTTCAACAAAACTAATAAAAACTTGACTTGATTGAAGCACTGCTAAATAACAATATAGAAACTTCTATTGTGTTAGACTTGATTTAATATGACAACAATTACAGTCATACATCAACAGATCATAGGTCGTGCTGGATGTGTTTTGATTTTGAAAGCGTGGACGAACTTGAACTTTCCAATACTTAGAAAAAAAATATTTTCCAGTACTTATTCAATCGTTGCTTGATTCCTATAAATACTCAAGGTTGTTATTTATAATATTTTGACCTGGGTCAACATATAAACACGCTTTCTGGTTACATTCGACTAGTTTAGGCCCAAGTCATTTATCAAATGGTCAATCGAGTCGACTTGACTCTTTCCCTTGTGGTTTTGAGCACCTACCGTACTATACTAATGAAGTACGGATTCCAACATCCGTTATTCTTGATTAACTTGGATTTCATTTTCTTCGTCAAAAAAAGCCACGAGACTAGAAATGTTTAGACAATTCATTGTTAGACCAAAAAGTCGCGTCACGTATGTTTTTTAATTTTAATTATACTCTTGCTTGGAAAAGTAGCAAGACAAATAGCACGAGTAGATATGTCTAAACAAAAAATAATATGAGTAGATAGAAGGGCTTAAATTTCTTCCTATTCTTCTCGTAGACTTTTCATGTGAAGAAAATAAGAGTTTGTTCTCAGTTGATTATTTTAACTAATTATAGATTCAAATTTTAGAAAATTAGTTTTATTATGTTCTCGATTGTTTTTGTATTCTAATTATAGATTTTTTTTAATGACTAAAAAAACTAAAATTTATAATCACCCAACGAGTAGCTGATTTTATAAAATCTAAAGCAACCGATAAAAAGGTCTAAGTGCTGATTCTATTCCAATAATATTTTCTTTTCCTTAATCACTTGGAGATACTAAAATTTTCTTTCTTGAGCAGTCTGCCACCATATTTATAAGGTAAATTACCTTTTATCCTCCTATGATTTGATACTTTACAACATAACTCTCCTATAATTTAAAAACCTATATATGAGCCCCTTATGATTTGATTAAAGTTCTATCATTAGTTTTTCTATTAAAACTAAAGTCAATATTAAAAAGTTGAAGTCAAAAAATTTGACAAATTCACCCTTTTTTTGCTTCTTTTCTTTTTTTTTTTCTCTCTTTTTTTCCCATTTAGGAAGAGAAGAGATGATATTGGAAAACAGGCTTTGTTTGAAAAGCAATTTTTCATGAAAAATTATTATATTTTTTGTGAACATATTTTTCAATCTTTTTTTATCTTACATATATCAAATTACTATAATAATTTTACAAAAAAATTCAAAAAAAATGCAATCCAAACAAAGCTACAGTACGTGCCTGCTAAATAACAATTAATGAGGGTCCACACTAAACTATGAGCCTGCCTAAAGACTAACAAATCCCCGTAAAACACAATAAAAGTGGACCTGCATTCTTTATTTCGGGCGGATAAGGACACGAGGACCATTACCAATATACTACGTGTTGCAAAACTAAAGTTCTGTCAGAAAAGTTTGAATGCATTATACAGGATAGTAAAATTTTTTATTCATATAATCTTAAACACTCAAATTTTCGCCATTTAATGAGGGTTATAGCACCGAGAAATAAATGGCAACACTTGACCCTGGCAGAAATGTAACTTTGTCTCTAATTGACATCAGCCTCAGTTTTTTAATGAAAAGAAAGACAAGAGTAAAATCTTTGAAGGGAAAAATGCATTTTTCATCCTCAAAGTATGGATTGTTGATCAATTTTATTCTCAAAATTTCACTCAAAACACATTTCATCCTCAAAGTTCCGTAATTTTGGCCAATTAAGAACAATTGACGGGAAATGAAGAATATTTTGTTAGAACCAACTGTAAACCCAACAAAAAATGGGTAAAATCGAATGGAGCCATTTTTTAACGGAACAATAATTTGCAACGGACGAAAACCAACATTCTTCTTCTTCTTCCCTCTACCTTTCTGCAACCCCAAAATTTTTTTGCCAACCTCTGGATATTCAGAACCACAAGACTTCAGAACCACAGACAATTGACGGGAATTTGCATCTGCCTTTCTACAACCCCAAAATTCTACTCTGGATCTTCCGAATCTTTAAACATTTCATCCTCAGAGCATCTGCCAGTGGTTCTAAAATCTTATTTTTGCCTAATGAGGAGCAGAAGTTCTGAAGTCTCCAATGGTTCATCAACTCCATTATGCAACTGTGGGTTGAGAACAAAAATGAGCACCTGTTGGCGCGGTGAGAATCCAGGAAGAAGATTCCTTGATTGCTCTCTGTGGTCGGTAAGAAATATTTGTCTATAAATATTGGTCCTTCAATGTGTTTAGCTAACTAATTTCTGAAAAATGTCATTATTGTTATGGTAGAGGCCTGAGAGATGCAAGTACTTTGAATGGGTTGATGAGCCAATTTGTCCAAGAGGGAGAGTTCTCATTCCTGGTTTGCTGAAAAAGATTAACAAAATGGAAGAACAAGTTGAAAGAATGCGTAAGAGGGAGAAAATTTTAATTACCATAATTGTACTTTTGGTGGTTTTGCTAGAACTGAGTTGGAGGAGTAAAGGTGAGGGAAAAGCAAAGGGACGCAAGTTGCTGCTAATACTGGAGTGATTTTGCTAAAATTGCAGAAGAACATTTTGAAGCTGGTCTTGTTTGTTGTTGGAATGAGTGTATCATTTGTTTATGAAGTAATATCCAATTGCAGGGTATAGAAAGGGACTTGTTTTGTTTGTACAAAGGTTCCAAATGAACTCTGCAATTTATGTAAAAGGTGGGATTTAGGAAGGGAGATGTATGAGCAATGCGTTGAGTGTAAGGAAATGGTCCTGTTTTATCTGTAAAGCAATGCGTTGAGTGTAAGGAAATGGTCCTGTTTTGTCTGTAAAGCAATGCGTTGAGTGTAAGAAAATGGTCCTTGTCAAAGTGTGTTCCTATCATATATATAAAATGGCCATGAATTATTGTCTTTGGCAACAATGTCCCACATGTACTGATAAACCAAATTGGAAAACAAATGAAAATAATACAAACACATGAACATGAAAACAACTGCCATATATATATATATCATAACTTCAATACACATTCCAAATGAAATAAAGCAAACTACATGACTGTTGTTGAACATGGGTCCATAAACGAAATAAAGCAAGCTATCACATTACTGTCTGCACTTCCATAATTACTAGGCAAGGCAAAAGTTGAAAAAGCAAAAGTCATGTTAATTACAAAAGTAGCAACTATCACAGTAGTTTCTCCTATCATAGTAGTTTCTCCTTTTCCTTCGATCTAGATGAACTAGGAACACTTAATGTTGAGTTGACTGCAGCAGCAACATGCATATAAACATCTCTAATCTTGAAGGGCATTTGTACTTGTTCTTTAGTTTGTGTTTTGGCCTGTTTGGTGCTATATTTGACTTGGGACTTTGACAGCCCAAACACATCGTACATATCCTTGTCCACTTGATCTGAGGCAGAGGATGTTATGTCAATCTCAACCAGTGGCTCAGCATCCTATTGATATTTAGTGTTTGAATCATCCTTACAAACTGCAGCTACAACTCTTCTTGTACATTGCTGTCTCTTCTGCACAAAACAGTGAAGTAGCAAAAGTCAAATTGCATAATGACAAAATCAAAATATGAAGCATGTTTTTCTACCCTTTTATTTGAAGACTCAGCAGCAGGTTTCTTGGTTTTTCTTGTTCCCTACAGTTTAAAAGGAAAACATGCTATTTATATACCAAATAGCAAAGATAGATGTAACAAGTAATCAAGACAACTTACAGCTGTTTTTCCATCTTGGCTTGCTGGATTGTTGGTAGAAGCAGCAACTTGGCTTGAATTAATATCAGTTTCTGCAACTGCAAGATCTTGAGCATCTTTGAGAAGCTTGTAAGACCTCATATTATGTCCCCTTTGATGTCAGTATCTACAGTTGTTAATCTGCCCCACTCTTCTCACCTTCTTCTTAGTTTTTTCCTTGGATTGTTGAATCTCATATGCACTTCTCTTTCTCAGCTTCTTAGGCCTTCCAGGTGCTCTTCCATATAAGGGTAGCAAAGGACCTCTACCAACATCAATAAGCCCCCATTCACTTTCTCCATTTATAGGACACATTGATCCTTCATAGCACTTCATATATGTCTCCACTGTATACTAACTTGAAACATATAGCAGAGGATCCTTTTTAGCCATCCACAATGCAGCAATGGCATGGGGACAGGGAATACCTGTTAGTTCCCATTTTCTGCAAGAGCTTGTTTGCTCCTTGATGTTCACTGCATATTGGTCACCACATGGGCAGCTGACTTCATAAAGATCATTATTTGAGTTGAACGGAAAACAGTCAGGTGCTCTATCTATATTTTTCTGCATAATGTGAAGAATTCTGGGGCAGTAAGGATAAGTCTGCCACTTCTCTTTAGCCAGATCCCTTTTTTTTTGCATTCTCTACATCATGTACAACAGTATTGTTTCAAACATTTCAATTATTGGCTTTTCCCTAGCATCAATAATTTTGCTGTTGAAGCACTCACAGATATTATTCAATAACATTGCACATTTAGGATGAGTGATAAAGTAAGCTTTGCTCCATTGACTTGGTGGTTTGTCATCAAACCACTTGGCTGCCTCTACATTAATTTCAGCCATTTCTTTCATTCTGCTAATGAATTGGGCTGGTGTTGTTGCTTTGGCAACAGTCCATAATGCTCTCCCCAAACCTTTTCTTTTGAAACCAGCCGATGAAAAATTACTGTGCAAGTGTTTCACACAAAATCCGTGGGCTGCATTTGGGAAAATCATATCACATGCTTCAATTAGACCTTTTTTGTTTGTCACTCATTATTGTCCACTCATAATCCTTTTCAATCTTCAAATCTTCTTTCAATAGTTTGAAGAACCAGCACCATGAGTCCTTATTTTCACCCTCTGTTGCAGCATATGCAATTGGACAAATGCCATTATTGGCATCAACTCGAATAGCTGCTAGCAAGACTCCTCCTACTGATCCTTTCAGAAAAGTGCCATCTACTCCAATAAATTGCCTACATCTAGCTAGGAAACCATGCTTCACTCCAACAAAATAGATGTACAGCATCTCAAATCTGCCTTTCCCTATTTTTGAGTCTCTAAAGCCATCAGCAGTTTGCATTATAACAGTGCTACCAGGATTGGATCTTAGAATTTCATGCATATAAACCCCTAATTTGCCGTACTGGTCTTTTTCACTGCCCTGAACAATTTTCATTGCTTTTTTCCTTGTCCTATATGTTTGATTTTTTGTGAAGGAGCACCTATTTTCTTTCATTACTGTCTTCCTAAAATGCTCCAAATCTAATTTAGGATTACACCTAAACTCTTCACCGTACTTCCTAGCGACCCATCAAGAATACACAAGAGGGTTATCATATGTAAAACCACATGTGTAATTATCTTCAAATTTTCTTATTTGAATAGTTCCATCTCCACTTAACTTTCTAGCATATATAATCCAATTACATTCACTATTTCTGCATTTAGCCCTCATCCTCACTGTATCTTGTTTCACAAACTTACAAGGCCTGCCTTGTTTCACACTATAATTATGTACAGCAGTCTTGAAAAGTTTCGAAGTTGTAGAGGACATGTATAGCTCTAATTTTGGATTGTCAATATCTTTAGGATCAAAAGTAGGAGACCTCAATTTAGAATCTTCATCATCAGACTCAAGGATGCTTTCAAAATCAGATTTAGAATCAGGAACCTGCTCTGTTTCATTCAAAGGATCAATTCTCCTACCCACATTTTCTTTCTTGTGATTGTCTACCCCTAGCCATTCAGCATTTTTGTCAACATTATCATGAAATATACCATCATCAGCATCATCACTTATTTCATAATCTGAATCAATAGCTAAAAAATAAGTCTCATCACTTGAATTGGAATCATTATCACAATTATTAGCAGCATACCCTCCTTGACCTTCATCCCTAATATTATTGTTACCATCACCATTTTAGGGTTCATTTTCTGTCTCATCTACCTCATACGGATCATAACAAAGTTGTTGTACTAGAATTTTATGAAAGGATACTTCAAGGTATAAGTTAACTTCCTTAGTTGGTCCAACCTCCCCCTTAACATAACCATTCAACTCCCTACTGCTGTCTATCCTCCTATAGGTGTTATTTTCCCAACCATAGCACACCTTATGACCATATACACCAGCACTCTCAATTAATCTATCCACTTCGAAAACACTTAGACCTATACTCTCACATCTTCCTTAACATAACCATTCAACTCCCTACTGCTGTCTATCCTCCTAAAGGTGTTGGCTCCGTTTGGATTAGCTGTTTTTGGGGTTGTTTTTCAAAAACAGCACTGTAGCATTTTGTTTTTGAAATACAAGTCTGTTTGGATTAGTTGTTTTTGAAGTTGTTTTTCAAAAACTATATGAAAAACTTTTACTGGAGATTTTTTTGGATTATTTTTAGAGGTATTTTTAAAACATAATTTTGGGTATTTTTATAATTTATAATTTTTATTTTTATATACATTTATACATTCATAATACATTTATAAAAATTTATAAATAAATATATTTATATATTCGCTAAAAAATATATAAATGTATTATATTATACATAATACATAATATAAATATATTTATAAATATATAAGTGTATATTATTATAAATGTATAAATTATAAATGAATATTATATAAATGTATAAATTACAATTTATAATTTATAATTTTTATATTTTTTTATAAATATACATTTATGCATTTATAATATATTTATAAATAAATATATTTACATATTTATATAAAATATATAAATGTATTATAAATTTATTATATTATATATAATACATAATACAAATATATTTATAAATGTATAAGTGTATATTATTGTAAATGTATAAATTATAAATGAATATTATATAAATGTGTAAATTATAAATTATAAATTATAATTTATATATTTATATATAAATATACATTTATGCATTTATAATACAATTATAAATATTTATAAATAAATATATTTTTGTATTTATATAAAAATATATAAATGTATTATATTATATATAATACATAATATAAATATATTTATAAACATATAAGTCTATATTATTATAAATGTATAAATTACAAATGAATATTATATAAATGTATAAATTATAATTTTATTAATATATATTAATATTAAGTATAAATGTATTAATATAATTAATATAAATGTACAAATGTATTAATATTATGTATAAATATAAAATTAATATTATGTATATTAATATAAATGTATAAATATATTATAAATGTATTATATTATATATAATACATAATATAAATGTATATTATAAATATACATTAATATATATATTATGTATAAATGTACATTTATATAAATGTATAATATATATAATATATAATATATGTTATATTATATATAATTTATATAATATATAATATTCATATAAATATATAAAAATATTTATAATATGGATAAATAAATATATAAATAATATACATTAATATTAATTATAAATATTATAATATTATAAATATGGTGTTTATATAATATTTTAATTTGTAATATTTATTGTATATTTCATTATATAAATATTCATATAATATATAATATATAAATATATAATATATAATTTTCAATTTGTATAATATACATAATATTGTATATATATAATATAATATACATAATATAATATATTATACATAATATACATTATTACATTATTACATATTATGTATATTATATATTATACATAACATTATTATACACAATTATTATACACAATAATGTACATAATAATATTATACATTAATAATGTATATATTATAATATAATGTACATAATATATTATGTATAAATTTTTACACATTTATGTATACAATATTACATATTATGTATATTATATTATATTATGTATAATATACAATATTATGTATAATATTAATTTATATAAATATTTATATAATATATAATATATAATTTTTAATTTGTATATTTCAATTTATATTAATATAATATAATATATATATTTATATATATAATATACATATGTAAGTTTTTCCGGGGTGGGTTGGGTGGTGGAGGCCAAAGTTCATGCCATGACCATGGGTCCCGGCAATTCGTACTGGTTCAATCCCGCTGGTCGCTCCATAGCTCAGTCCCGGGTCCTGAGTTTCTCCAGACTCGCATTCATAAAATCCAACGAATCATCTGTTCCAGTCCTTCCCCAGCCACTCCCCTGCGACCCCTTCACTCACCTCGTACCGCACCCCAACCGCCCGTTTTTTCGATATAATGTCTTGGATATTGGTGCTGTCTTTTGGATGTCTCTCTGAAATACACATTTACTCTTGTAGCATTTTGTGGACCACCTGTGAAAACAGTTTTTAAACAAATAGTTCCAAAAAAAATAAGATCCAAAACAACACCATCATGTCTGAAAAAAAGCTTTTTGACAACTACAAAATTTTAGAGTCCAAAATAATGAATCAAATAACTGGCTGAAAATAAGGGTTAAGATTTATGTTTACATTGATTGCAAAACTCAATTCAACTCGCAAGAACAATTAGTAAGAATGTTCATCAGGTGGTATCAAGGTAAATGATTTGATTCTCGAGCTTTTCTAAAATTTGAAGTCTCCGTTGTACCAACCAATAAGAAATTAAAAAAAATTATTGACATTGCTTCACATAAAAAATGAGATTATAAGAGTCCATTTGAATTATTATTTTCTTTTTGAAAAAAAAAAAGTATCGCAACGAATTGATATATATATATAGAGTAAAAAGGTGATTGTGAAATGTGTCCAGAAAAAATGTATATTTTTTTTGGAATAAAATGACAATCCAAACATGCCCTAGTAAGTACGCAATTATGTATCCTTATATTCCTTTTTGAAGAAAAATGTATCCTTACTCCTATGAATAAACAGTAATACGACACCTGCTCACCAGATTTACCTGCTGGGCGTCAACATACCCGGGAAAGTAGCTGTATGAGGATAAGCTAAAAACAAGCAGAATCTCCGGCCACTCGCTCCAGCAGTCAAGTCAACACAGCTACCTCCGCTGTACTTCTTTCCACTCGCACTCCGCACCGTTTCTGCTTTTACTAGTATTTCTCGTTTTACTTGCTCAAAAGTCTAAGCAAGACTCATCACTGCCAGCCCCGCATGATAAAACCATTAATCATCGAACCCATTCGTGTAACAGAGAAGAAAGGCCTCCTGAAACTGGCAAAGTTTCCGGCTATAACTGGTACTGCTTTCAGCTGAATTCCATTACAAGTTGCACAAATGTCTGCATTCAGTGGTTTATTTGAGTGTACTGATTCTGTCTTGTCTGTGTCCGTAGGCCCTTTTTAAGTGAGGATCGCGTGTACGATCATTGGCCTCATAGGTGACTGAACACAAGCCAAGAATGGCTAACAAGTTGATGCTGCTGATTTTTGTTGTGGGTTTTGCTTTGTGCGTGGAATCAAAGTATATGGTCTACAATACCAGTGCCAAAATTGTGCCTGACAAGCTTAATGTTCATTTAGTTCCTCATTCTCATGATGATGTTGGATGGCTCAAAACTGTTGATCAGTACTATGTTGGTTCCAATAATTCAATACAGGTTCCCCTCTTTGCATTTTTTAACTTGATTTATTGTAATTCAGTACTCTGCTGCTGCTGCTTCTTCTCTTCTCTCTCTCTCTTATTGGTGACCACAATGTATGACTTATTATGCAGGGTGCTTGCGTGCAAAATGTGCTGGATTCTCTCATTCCGGCATTACTGGCGGATGAGAATCGAAAATTCATTTATGTTGAACAGGTTTAGTATTTGATATTGGCAATTCGTATGGAAAGTTTTGTGCTTTATACTTTGTGGTTATTTAGAGGGATCTCATACAAGGAAAATTGATGAAGTGGGGTTGATTGGACAGGCCTTCTTCCAGAGATGGTGGAGGGATCAGAGTCCTGCAACGCAGAAGATAGTCAGGCAACTAGTCGATGCCGGCCAACTAGAGTTCATGTATGGAGTTAATAGACCCAGACAGTACATTCTGAGCATTCTAAGAGTCAAGATATAGATAAGAAAGGAAATTGACTACCGACTAATGGTGTCAAATTTCTGTTTCGTTCAGTTCAGTAATGTTGTTGTTTAGGAAACTGTAACAAACATGTGATTTTTATTGGGATTATGGTTCTAAAGGGTATATATTATCTTGTCCTTTGATGTAGAAATGGGGGCTGGTGTATGCATGATGAGGCAGCAACTCATTACATTGACATGATAGATCAGACAACATTAGGTCACAGATACATCAAGGAGCAGTTCAATGTGACTCCAAGAATTGGTTGGCAGATTGATCCATTTGGACATTCTGCTGTTCAGGCCTACCTTTTGGGGGCAGAGGTATTATTTTCTAATGGATTGCTGAATATGTGTAATAGTTGGTGTATAAATTATATTCAATGGTTGATTATTTGCCAAAAAAAATGTGGATTCTTTGTCGACCATTTTGTTTTCAAAGCTCAATGTGTATGATTGAGGTGAAAATTTGAAGAGAAATGGCCGGTCTTTCTATAGCTACATGTCCCAATTTGGGACAACTGATACAAAGCATCTGTTGCAAATGGACTGACTCATGCTTTTTTGTTGGCTTAGCTTGGATTTGACTCTTTTTTCTTTGGACGCATTGACTATCAAGACAGAGCAAAACGGAAAGCTGAGAAGGCTCTTGAAGTTGTCTGGCAGGGTTCTAAGAGTTTGGGTTCTTCAGCACAGGTTAGTTGCAGTACTTTTTTAGTTCTCAAGCATTTTTATGACTGCCTATTTTATTGCCAGGGATTTAAATGGCAGTCTCTCTCTTTCTCTCACAGATATTTGCTGGTGCTTTCCCAGAGAATTATGAACCCCCAAGTGGTTTTTACTTTGAAGTAAATGATGATTCTGATATCGTGCAGGTATCTATACAGAAATAAGATAACTGGTTATTCAATATATGGTGAGTACAAGCAGATGATAATTTTCTTAAATAAACTGCAGGATGATATGAATTTGTTTGATTACAATGTTCAAGATCGTGTGAATGATTTTGTTGCTGCTGCTTTTTCACAGGCAAGTCATATTTTAGTTTTAGCTTTAATGCTACGAACTCCACTTGTTCTGAACTTTTGATGCTCATTGTGAACAATTTCATCTTTGTTGTCTTCCTACGAATCCAGATATAATTTTCTGTTGTAAAAATTTACTTGCATATTCAGTTGGGTATTTTTTTCTGATATAAAGAAGAAGAAATGCATGTAAATTTTGACTTGACATGATAAGTCAAAATATCTATCCTGACTAAGGGAAAGGAAAATCTGTATAGAGACACGATGGTAACAGTTGATTTGTCATTTTCTCAAAGGCATTTGCTACAATAGCTCATAATTTGTTGCTTAATTGTTTAGGTGATGTTTTATCAGAAAGAAGGAATTTTAATTCTTTGTTTCTTTGACAGGCTAATATTACTCGAACAAATCATGTCATGTGGACCATGGGAACAGATTTCAAGTATCAGTATGCTCGGACATGGTTTCGGAACATGGACAAGCTCATTCATTATGTGAATGAAGTCAGTCTCACTTTTAGTAAATCGGATTGGTCTATAACTCAAAGTCCTTGTGCTGAATGTCTGCTTTCTTTATAAATTGCACCAGCAAATCATCTATTAGTTGTTTCCCATTGTCATGATTTTTCAGATTGTTCAATGCGTTGATCTTTCAATGCACTTGTATGTAGGATGGCCGCGTCAATGCATTATATTCAACACCATCAATTTATACTGAGGCAAAATATGCTTCTAAGGAGTCCTGGCCTCTTAAAACTGATGATTATTTCCCGTGAGTCCAAGATTTGGAAGTTACCTTTTTATTGCTGGCTAACAACTTTCTTGGTTTGCTGCCTGTCATTAATCTGGGAGTTAATGCTGGTGCTCATCAGATATGCAGACCGCATTAATGCTTATTGGACTGGATATTTTACCAGCAGACCTGCAATTAAACACTATGTTAGAATCTTGAGTGGGTACTATTTGGTAGGTCATCTGCCGTTTTATCTTAATTGATAACTATGGTGCTGCTGCATATGCAGTATTTCAGTTCTTTGTTCCTAATTAGACTCCTACACATAATCAGGCAGCTAGGCAACTCGAATTTTT